GTTGGCTCTGTATATCCCCATCTACTGACTCTTATATGGCTATCTCTGTACCTCCTGAAGTCTGGGCGACAACAGTCTCACTTACCATCCTCAGTATAAGATGGGAGGCCCATTACAGCTACTTAACAAAGTCCCGCACTGACTTTCACATCACTGACATCACACACACACACACACACACACACACACTTTTTACACACACACACACACACACACACACACACACACACACACACACACACAAATAGGTCGTGCAGCCTGACTCCTTCAATCTTACATCGCTAACCTTTCTCTTTATGAGAGTAGGGAAAAACCTATATTCAGACCTATAGCTGATGACATCATTTTGAGTTTTCGAGCCCCGCTTTGCCTTCAGCATAACTTGTCCATGGGCTCCATGTTGGGACATCTCCCCTCTCAAAAGTGCAACTACACACTACAATTACAGGCCTTGTCAGATCATGCTCACTACAGAGTCACCCAAGATGCTTCCTTAGCCTGTTCGCTTCACTGCAGCCCCAAAACTTTTAACAGAGGGACTTCTCAATGAAAATTCAGGGTTTTGCAATGGTCACCATATGCCTTGCATGATTATACATCCCTGGACCCCTTGCAACCTAGTCTCCTGTTTAAGAATGACTTCTTATACCAACATTTAATGACTCTCCAGAATGGCTTCTGGTTGATACCAAGAGATTCTTCCTAATATGGAAAAATAAAACCAACAATGCCCAACAAATCTTATGCCGCAAACCTTTTCAACCATTAACAGGCACTGTGTTGGCAGGAACACTAGGAACATGGGAGAAAGAAAATAACAAACACACACCTTTTTGACATACACAACCAATTCTGCTTACCTAGTGAAGGTGTCTTCTTCCTTTGTGGAACCTTGGCCTACCTGTGTCTGCTGCATGCTAGTCTCTCAGCCCTGACCTTGATATAGCCCCAAACAAACCTTATCAGTGCCAATAAAAACAGGTTAGACACTGATGAGCAGTGCAACTAATACCCCGACTTACAGGGGTAGGTGTCACCACCACCGTGGGAACTCGAGTAGAGGGTATAGCTACCTCTAACTTATTTTCAAACCTTTTCCAAAGATCTGAGTGATAGCCTAAAAGATATAGCTAGATCAGTCATGTCTTTTTTTTTTTTTTTTTTTTTTCCATACTGGGAATCCAACTCGGGCCCTTGCATTTGCAAGGCAGGCGATGGAATCACTGAGACAAATCCCCGGCCCTATCAATCATATCTTTACAAAGCCAAATGGATTATTTGACAGCTGTCACTCCAAAATAGGAGGAGATTAGACCTTACAGTAGAGAAGGGCGGTATATGTCTTTTCCTGGCAGAATACTTTTCTGTACAAACCATTCAGGTACAGTCAGGATGCAGCAAAGAGACTCACCGAAAGAGCCTCAAACATTGATCCTCACATATCCAACTGGACTAATGGAAACCTCTTTTCCCTAAATAATTGCCTGCTGTGTCTTCTTCTTATGGGACGATTTGTCATCATCTGTCTTATTCTGCTTCTCGGACTCTGTCTGTTTGGTTGTCTTCAAAATTTTTTACAGGAACACATGCACGCCTTCCCCAACCACACGGCAGAGCTGTTTCTGGCCTGCTATCAACCCTAAAACACACTTCTGATTCTGTTGAAACATCATCAGTGTGAGACCTCACTGCCCATGTTCAGAAGGAAGCAGCTGCAGAAGATCTCCAGCCCCTTTACCCTTATCAACAAAAGGCAGGAATAATAGGTCCAACTAAATCTATAATGATATCTGGCTGGCCCAAAATGGCTTTCCCATCACAGTTCCAACCAGTTTCGTTTTCCTGTAAAACAGCTCTTTGTAAAGAAACAAAACCAATCCCTTCTCCTCCCTTTCCTGCACACCCAAAATTATGCCATCACCTGCCACAGGTTTAACCAATTAAAAAAATCACATGGTGATCCCCCCCCTCTGACCACTAGTCCTCGCCCTAAAGTGTGTATAACCACGCGTGTGCAGGGTAACCACCACTACTGTTTCTGGAGTAGCGCAGAAGTCATCTCCGATAAAGCCTGTTCTTGGTCACCCGAGTTTTAGCTCTTTTTTTTTTTTTTTTTTTTTTTTTTTGGTACCGGCATTTGAACTTGGGTCCTTGTGCTTGCAAGGCAAGCCACCGAAGCGCTGAGCTATATCCCTGGCCCATTGGCTCGTTTTTCTGTCAAGACACCCTCCATATAATTTTGTTACTCTGGTAAAAAGGAATACAATATTTGATATTTATGACTTTGTTAACTAGCCAAATAGGCCACATGATATAGTATTTGTCTTTTCATGACTGTTGCTTTTTTCCTATTTTTCTCTCAGTATATTCAGGCACGTGAAGTATTCTGACCATTCCATTTATTTACTGAAAAACATCTCTTCTGGCATGCTGGTGGCACATGCCTATAATCCTAACACTGGGAGTCTGAGGCAACAGGATAAGAAATTTGAGCCCAGCTGAGGCAGTTCAGTGATTTAGTGAAATCCTGACTTAAAAAAAAAATCTATTTCTATATAGATAGATATAGATATCTATATAGATACAGATAGATTAGATAGAGAGATATGGTGTAGTTCAGTGGTAAAGTGCCTGCTTACCATGTGTGAGGCCTTGGGTTCTATCCCATATATGTATGTGTGTGTGTGTGTGGCTTGAGATATATATAGCTCAGTGCCAAGGCCCTTAGTTCAATACTTAATACAAAAACAAAAGAAAACAAAACAAAGAACTGCCTGTTAGCTAGGTCTATACAGTTGTCCTGAACTTTTATTTTCCTATTATCCTGGTGAGAATTTCTTGCTTTTTTCCCCTTGTAGTAGCTTCTTCAGGAAGAGTTGGCAGGGGTTCATTTCTGAGAGCTTTTATGTCAAACTATGCATCGTAATTGATTTTTTTCTGGTATACAATTCTATGTCCTATTTAAGGACACCCCCTTCCCTGCCCAGAATATTAAAGGCATTACTTCATTGTCTTCTAGTTTCTAGAGTTCTTACTGATATTTTTATCATTTGGAAATTTATATACTGCTTAGCTAAATTTAAGATGTTCATCCTAGAAAGTATATATAGCTGATTTTTTTCCCCCTTCTCAAGAGCCTAGGCAGGTTTTAGAAAATTTTTGGTGCATTAAGTTTTATACTGGTTTCTGAAAAAAACCTAAACATGATAGTCACATATATTCTTGTACTTCTTCAGGCAGTAACTGGTTAGAGAGTTAAAAACATTTGCATTCTAAAGAAAGTTGAGTTTTTGGGCTCCTAAGAGGATTCTCAGAGAAGTTTGTTCCCTAACTTTTTAACAAGTATAGAGTAGGGAATTTCCCTCTAATTTCATAGAGGGAAGTTTTTGGGGACTAATAAAAAGTTCTAATAATCTAGAGTTAATGTCCATTGTTTAAATTTTATTTCTTGCAAAATGCTCTTTTGTTTCTGTTATAGATTATGACCTCACTGAAACATGTTCTGTTTCTTGGGGTGGGGTTTGTATGACTTCACATTTCTCTGTAGGTGTGGGCTAAAGTTGTAAAGGCTTTCCAACATCATTCACTTGAATGCATGCCCTTAAAGGAGGCTTACATTCTAATATATAAAAAATGTTGCAAAATTTTTAGAAATACAGTACTGTGAAGTGCTATGAAGTAAAAGTGAAGTGTTCAAAGAACAACAGACCTAACTGGGAAAATGGCTAGGTTTATGTTGAAACTTGAAGGATAGAATAGTTTGGCAGATGGTTAAAAGAGCTAGCTAACATCTAAGTAGATTTTATGTGTATTAAAAGTACAGTTAGTTATTTTAGATGCCACTTTCACAAACTAATTTTAAAAGGTCTTATAGATTTGATAACTTCGTATTTTACATGAATGGCATTTGAATTTTATTTTTTTATTTGTATTTTTTGGTTTAAGGTTCTAGTAGCAGTGATTTAGCTTGGTTTTTTCTTTGTGAACAGGTCAGTCAGTCCTGAGAATTGCAGCTTTTATTGAGAATATGTGTACAAAGGAAAACTTTTAAGAGGTGATAGGGTACAAAACTAATGGTAGATTGCAAATACTAATAGTAGATTGCAGAGATGTTACCTTATCAGGGTGAGATTCTGAACTATTGCTGGGGTTCCTTCTGTCTCAGTGCACATCTGTCTTAAGACACATTTCAATGAAAGATGACTAATGTGTCCTTTTTATTCTTTACCGTCACAGCTCTAGTTTTTTATTTAAAAATGAAGGCACTACTTCAAAAGCACCATAATCATTTCATCTTTCAGAAAGACTTTTATTGAAAGGTCTATTTTAAAAAATGTTTCCCTTCCAAATTCTCATGGGCCTAGGAATATAGTTCAGTGGTAAAGTGCTTGCTTACCATGTGTGAGGCCTTGGATTCTATCCCTAGTACACCTGCCAAAAATCATTACCCTATGCTGATCCTGGTCTTTAAGCTTACCTGTTTGAATTCAGGCAGTTAATAAATTTAGAGTTTCTACAGAAATACTTTCTTTTAACTATGATTGAACCAACTGGGAGCATGTTTCCTTCTTTTGCAATAAAGAATAAATTTTATTAAGCCTAATTTGTAATATTTTGCAATAGAAATGTGTAGTCTTGCCTGTTCATTCCATGTGATTTTAACATCTTAGAATGTAAAAAGTTGCTAGAGTAATTGTAAAAGTAGATTTCAGTAGAACATTTGAATTTCAACCTTCACTACATAGAAACAAATAACTTTGAAGTATTTTGTTACAAATTAATTGGAATTTTACTTTAGATGAATTTTGTTCCAAATCAACAAGCTGTTGAAAATTATGTATTTCATACTACATATATTAGAAATTGAATTACTAGTAGAAAGCTTCATTTAAAAAAATCTTAGTAAGTAGTTGACCTTTCATTTATTTAGTAGTCATCTTTTTAAGTAAAAATCAGTATATTGACAATTTGGAAGCTAATGACTACAATTTTCTTGACAGGAAATGCACAATTTTGAGGACGAGTTAACGTGTCCCATTTGTTACAGTATTTTTGAAGATCCTCGTGTACTACCATGCTCTCATACATTTTGTAAAAGTTGTTTGGAAAACATTCTTCAGGCATCCGGTAATTTTTATATATGGAGACCTTTAAGAATTCCACTCAAGTGCCCTAATTGCAGAACTATTATTGAAATTGCTCCAACTGGTATTGAATCTTTACCAGTTAATTTTGCATTAAGGGCTATTATTGAAAAGTACCAGCAAGAGGACCATCCAGATGTTGTTTTCTGCCCTGAACATTATAGGCAACCACTAAATGTCTATTGTCTATTAGATAAAAAGTTAGTTTGTGGTCATTGTCTTACTGTAGGTCAACATCATGGTCATCCTATAGATGATCTTCAAAGTGCCTATCTGAAAGAAAAGGACACACCTCAGAAACTGCTGAAACAGTTAACTGACACACATTGGACAGATATTACTCATCTTATTGAAAAGCTAGAACAACAAAAGTCTCATTCTCAGAAAATGATCCAGGGTGATAAAGAAGTTGTTTTCCAGTATTTTGAGGAGCTTATTGATACATTAGAACAGAAAAAAAATTTTTTTATAACAGCTCTCAGTGATGTTAGCAATCTGATTAATCAAGAATATACCCCACATATTGAGAGAATGAAAGAAATAAGAGAACAGCAGTTTGAATTAATGACACTGACAACATCTTTACAAGAAGAATCTCCACTTAAATTTCTTGAAAAAATTGACAATATCTGCCAAAGTGTGCAGATCTTGAAACAAAGACCACTTCCAGAGGTCCAGCCTGTTGAAATTTATCCTCGAGTAAGCCAGGTATTAAAAGAATGGAGCAGAACAGAAATTGGACAAATTAAGGAAGCTCTTATTCCTGAAATGAAAATTTCTTCAATAAGGATGCCATCTTCCTGGCCTGATACAGATAAAAAAGAAGTTGAATTTTTTCAAATTTTAAGTATTTCACTGTTATTAATGTTGACACTTTTTTTCTACCAGCACATAACAACCTTCTTAAATGAAGTATGTTCAATATGTTTTTCTAAAGTCTCTTTGTCTGTTTACCAAAGTTTGTCTAACAACTTACATGATTTAAAAACCATACTGTATCACATTTTATATTTGTTAAAGGAATTCATGTGGAAAATAGTTTCTCCTTGAAAATTTGAATCTGGATTGTTAAATGGGCCTTTTCTGTACAGCAGAGGCTAACTACTAACTGGAGAAACAGGAGGTAGCATTAAAAACTAGTAAACTAGAAATGAGAACCAAGACCTGTCATGTAAAGGTACAAGATCCCAATGATGAATGTAACTGTACTGTATATCTAAAATGTACCAATAAACTCAATGGAGGAAAAAAAAACTAGTAAACTAAACTTTGGTAGAGTTCCAATAAATTCAGAAATGTTAAACCTTTCAGGCTTCTGTCGGAGATAGTGCATCAAATAAAAATGAGAATATAAAAGATAATTCAAATTGTCAACTATGTATGATGAAATCTAGTAATTAGAGTATTAATGTTGTCTTATTTGTATTGTCTTGATGGAAGTCGACTTAGTGCAGCTCTTTTAAACATTTGTACTGCTATTATCTTTTACCATTATTATATCAATCTTTGAATATTCATATATACACATGTATATGTATAGTGTTTTGGATTAAAAGATGGAAAAATCCTCAGTGCCTCATGTCTCAATTTGAATGGGTAAATAAGGATGGTCAAAAGGCTTAAAAAACCAAGCAACCAAATTTTAAGTGGTAAAGGACTGCTTAAAGATCTTTTTGATGAAACAACTAATTCATACATTTAATGTTTTAGATAGATTTAACAGCTGTAAAATGTTCAGTATTCATCCTAGGGCCTGGTGGCACACACCTGTGATCCCAGCACTCAGGAGGCTGAGGCAAGAGGCTTTGCACAGTTTGCAGGCCAGCTTGGTCTACGTAGTGAGTTCAAGCCCAGTCTGAACTATAGTGAGACCCTGTTTCAAATCAAACAACAAAATACTCATTCTAAGTACAGCTATTAGATTGGATAATCTTGATAATTTCTAATACTCATGTTTTGGTAGTTACTCAACTCCCAAATGCAATATTAAATTTATGTATGGTGCAAGCCTACAGTCCTAGCTACTTGGGAGGCTGAGGCACTAGAGTTTTGGAGTTCAAGGTCAGCCTGGAAAACAACGAAAGTATTACAGAAATGGGGAGGGAAGGAGAAAGGGAAGGTGGGCTGCAAGTGTCATGTGGCTTGGGTTCGGTGGTAGAACCTTCTTGCCCAGCGTGTATCTGCAGCACCCTTCAAGAGGTTTGGCTTTTTATTCCATTGCCCTCTCAAGTCCCCTCCCCTGTGTACAAAAGCTTTTTCATTTTTCCCTATTTTCACTCTTCTCTTGTCCCTCCTTTGCACCATCCCCGATTCCCCTTCCCATTCCTTTCCCAATACCCATTAATTCTAGTGTTTTAGTTTTGTCAAATTCTTAGATAAAAAGCTGTAACTTTACTAGGACAGAATATTGGTGACATATTTCTCAACAGATTTTGATGGCATCATGTAAACTATATTCATCTTAAAAATTTAAGATTTTTTGCCAAGTGTTTCCTACGTTAGTGCAAAAAGTACTGATTTTATATTCTTGAACCATGCTTTTAGAGAGCCTATTTAGTCAGAGCTCTAACTTAAGTTTCTTTAGCAGGGATTGGCACTGTGATGCCTGCAATATACTTTGGGCCCATTGTCTGTCCCATCTTAAGCACAAACTGATTTGTTCTTGAGAAATCCTAGATGGGTTTCCAGGTCAGATTAGGGAATACTCCTGACCTCACTGAATTACATTTAGAATTGTTTATGAACTAGCTCGAAAATACTCCAAAGATCTTGTTTGTTAAGAATAAGCCTTAACACTTGAGATGAATGCTTAAGGTCATTTTTATGTTGGAGTCAGACCATACCTCAATCACATTTTACCGAACACAATTATACAAAGAACCAGTGTAATGGAAGTGAGGAGAAACTTAAGACAGAACTCTACTAACTTTAGATGGAAATTGCATGGTTCACTTGAAAGTTTAGTCACACCACCAAAGTCCCCTATTTTTAATAAATATTAGTAAGCAATAAAATGTTAAGCTATTATGTGTCATGCACTTAACCCTGTAAGGCTATATAGCTACCATGTGGAAGAAATGATGCATTTTCAGTTAATGCTCAAAGAACGCAAGGTGGTCAAGATTGTAAGTAGTTTCTAATCTGCAGAACTTAAGATATCAAAAGTATATGTCATTGTTTTTGTTTTGTTTTTTTTTTGAGACAGGGTCTCACTATGTAGTTGAGACTGACCTAGAACGATGTAGTCCAGGCTGGTCTCAAACTCAGAGTGATCCTCCTGCCTCAGCCTCCCGAGTGCTGGGATTACAGGCATGCGCCACCACACCTGGCCAAAAGTATATGTCTTAATATCACTTTAGACTTGACAATATTTTCTAAATAGGGTGCTCAAAGAGCAGTCACTGGAAATTTTACATGAATGATAATTTATCCTTAAAAGTACTGAGTTGTTGCACTGGATATTTTAAAAAAATTTAATTCTCCCCAATAAAGCACTAATTACTATGTAGCATTTTCTATTTTTTCCTGATATAATCTTGATTTTAAAAAATGACTACTTGAGTGTCACATCTTTTGTTTATTCTACTTGTGTTCATTTTTAATGGCTTTATTATGATACAAAATGTTGATCTTTGCACTTAACTAAAATAGAAATGGATTAAATATCTAAGTGTTAAACTAAACCAGCTGGAAGAGAGGTTAGGTAGAATTCTTAGACACTGGTGTACAAAAAGATTTCATGAACAAATTCTCATTTGTACATGAATCAGCACAAAGAATTAACAAGTGGGATCTCTTATTAAAGATTCTGCACAGCAAGAGAAATCAGCAACAGCATGAAGAGATGACCCACATGGGAAAAAAATTTTACCAGCTATTCCTCAGACAAAGGTCTACTATGTAGAACTTATAAAGAATTTAATCAGACCTCCCAAATTCAAAGACCAATCCAAAAATGGACATCTGAAATGAACAAACATTTCTCAAAGTAGGAACAGCAAATAACATGAAAAATGTTCAACATCACTGATCATTTGAGAGATGCAAATGAAAATAACACTGAGATTCTCCCTCACTCCAGAAAGAATGGCTATCAAGGAATCAATAAGAATGATGCTGGCAGGGTTGTGGGGGAAAAAAGGAATACTGCTCCACTGTTGGTGAGAATATAGACTGCTATAGCCACTGGAAATCAGTATGGAGATTAAAAAAAAAAAATCTAGTATTAGAGCTCCCATTTGACACAGCTATTTCCCTGCTGGGTTTCTTTCCAAAAGAAAACATCACAGTGATATATGTGCACCCATGTTTATAGAGGCAGGTTGTTAACAGCTGAAAATTGGAAACAGACCAGTTGCCCATCAAATGGAGACTGGATAAAGATGTATTTAAAAAAAAAAATGGAGTACTACTCAGCCATATTTATGAGAAATTAGAGACATTTATAGCTAAATGGATGCACATTGAAGCCATACTCTTAAGTGAAATAAATAGGATACATGTGTAAATATCAAAGTTTTTCTGGTGTGAGAAACAAAGTGTAAATAAGGATCAAAATGTGTAACAGATAAAGTGAAATAGGAAGAAAAGGGGCAAAGGGAAGTCGGAGGGAGGGAAAAGGAAAGAAGGGAAAGAAAAAATGGAAACAAAGTCTTTATAAATAGGGAGGGGTTGAGGGGTTGAAGGGAGGTCAGGAATGGGGAAGAAAAATAACCGTTATAATATGGAAAGGTACAAATTCCCAATAATGAACGCCAGCATAATGTATACCTAAGATGTTCCAATAAAATTCTTGAATGAAAAAAAAAGTTGGATTTTTGATATCTACATAATGGTCTCCCAGATAATGAAGTGATTTAACTCCTCAGGATAAACACAGCTAGGGCAAAGATGTTCGATTCATTCAAGTGGTTGTTGTCTTATTTTCAGTAGCATAATACTCTTGAACCAATACAATAAAAAATCCTGACAACTTGACAGTGAACATTCACATTATCTTAAATTCCACTTACTATATTCTTATAAAGTAGTGTATATTACTTATGAGTATAGCCTAGTCATGTTCAAAGACTGTTTTTACATTCTATTTTGCAGCAAATTTTAAATAGTTAAAGCACACCAAGTTTTGAAGTAGTTATGTTTAAATTTTTATAAATTAATAATGACTGGTCTATAAAAAAAGGTTCCCATTATTTGGGTAATGATTGTCAGAATTAGTAAACAAAGTAGAATGCTTTGAAAATTTATGCAAGACAAGTTTAGCAGATTTTTCCAGGGTAGGTCAATGTTCACTGAAGATATGCTGAGGCTTGACAAGATCTAGGTTTAGGACTTTATCTCAACTAACAAACTTAACCTTACTGGTAATATTCTGGAACAAGGGCATGTCACCTGACCCTACAAGAATCTGACTTAATAGGCTGCCACTTACAAAACTCATCCTGGTGGGTGTGGTGGTAGATACCTTAACTGTAGCCATAAGAGGCCAAGGCAGGAGGGTTGCCACAAATGTGAGGCCACTCTAGAATACACAGTGAATTCAAGGCAGAATTAATTACAGTGAAACCCTGTCTCAGAAAACCCCCTTTTATTCTTTCCATCTACAAATGATTACAGAGAAAAAAATCATTTTGGGGGTACTGAGTGAGGATTTACCCAGGGCCTTTAGTATGCTACCCCAGTTCCTTTTTTACTGAGAACAGGGTATTGCTAAATTACTGCCCGGCCTTGGCTTGAACCTGTAATCTTCCTGCCTCAGAACATTGTTTTAGACATTTTGTTAGTGTGTTCCTACTGCTCCATTCCTGACCCCGTACTGGGGCAGGCCCAGCATCAATGAGCTAAATAAATCCCTTGCAGTTTCAAACATTGTAACATGATTCTTAACATCATAAAACAAGCAGTTTTGTCATAGTTTAGAATTCTGTAATTTATACAACTTGTAACTGTTACAATATAAAACCAGTAACACAGTACACCAAATTTATGCCAATTCAACTTGAATCTTCAGTATGAACATATTAACAAAGTCCTTTAGATGCAATTTCTTTTGGGTTTACTGCAACACTCTTTGTTATATTGTATGTCTTGTAAATTCCAATAAGTCTGTCAGAAATCTCAAACATATTATTTCGAAGGGAAATTATTATGAACTGGGCATTTTTTGTTTGCTCCTAAACAAAGAAAAAGAAAAAAGGATTATTAACAAGTAAATCATAATTCACATGTATAGGAATGATGGTACAGATAATTAATAAAACATTTAAGAGGAATCTAGGTATTTTTTTAAGCATTACTGCCTATAAGTGTGGTGGAAAAGATCTAGGAAGGAGTCCTGGGATTCTATCTGGTATTGTTAATTTGCATTATCAATTTATATTTTACTCATCCAAAATGAAAATATAAATAAGGATTTGGTTTCTTGATAGCAGAAGACAGAGTTAGAGAACAGGAAAAAAAAAAGGTTAATAATAAAATCAAAGCAAAATAAGTATAAAATTTCCAGAATTAAAAAAAAACCCTGTATGATTACTTACATATATATAAAATGCAACAATGGACACATTTTTAAAATCAAGGGCTGCATCGATCTCATCCATGAAGTAAAGAGGAGTAGGTTTGTAGTGGTGAAGAGCAAATACTAAGGCCAGTGAACTAAGTGTTTTCTCTCCTCCTGAAAGGTTGAAGATCTTCTTCCAACTTTTCTTAGGAGGTCGAACACTGCAAAAATTTTGAAAATCATAGTCAAATTATTAGTAAAGCAAGTTAAAACTTTATATTAGGTATGGTAGCATATGCCTATAATCCTCACTCCTCAGGAGGTTAAAAGGAGGATCTCTCAGCTCGAGGCAGGCCTGGGTAACAGCAATAACCTTACCGCAAAATTAAATTTAAAAAAGGCTGGGGATTTAGCTCAGTGGCACTGCAGCTGCCTTGCAATTACAAGGTCCTGAGTACGATCTCTGGTACCAAAAAAAAAAAAAAAAAGGAATTGTGCTCAGTGGTAGAGCATTTACTTAGCCTGGATGAGGCCCTGCGTTTAATCCCCAGTACTAGTGGGTGGGAGAAATCAGGACTTTTTTTTTTTGGACTGAGTGACATATATCCCCCTAGCCACGTTATTTTAAAGGATTTTACAAAAACAATTTAAAAAATATTTCATGATAGGGTGTTAGTCTCACTAAGTTGGTGGGCCTGTGATCTCCCTGCCTCAGCCTCTTAGAGTGCTGGGATTAGAAGGTGTACACCACCATGCCCAGCTAAGTCTCCATCATTTGCTTTCCACAATTGAGTTCTATTTTCCTCCTTGGGAGTCTAATTTGCTTTACACAAATACGAATTTTTTCTGGTTATTTTATGAAAATGGTACTAAGAAGATGAACATATAGGACTAGTAACCAGAATTTTTAGATTTCAACAGCAAGTTAAGTACTTCTTACTATTCCTTCCTTTTTTCCAAAAAAATGTTTCAATCTTGACATTAGATTGAAAAGATCTGAAAATGTATAAACTAGGTTGTGAAGATTAAATATTTGTACATAGCTTATACTGTAAACTGCCAGTATAAACAAGTTAGTATTTATCATCAAAAACAAGTTGTATATCTCACCTTCACATCTCATCGAGTGAAAAATCAGTTTGAAGAATAGGTAAAGATTAGTATTCAAAACTCCATACAGACCTGAACGTGATTCCTTCAGAGAAAGGATCCAAGCTGTCTACAAGTTCCAGTTCAGCATCTCCTCCCAAAGTAAGCATTTGGTAATTTTCTTTTAACTTATTTGTTATTATATAAAAACCTGCCATGAATTCATTAAGCCTTTGTTTTCGAAGATCTTCATATGCCTGTCTAAAATTATCTCTTTCAGAAGTAATTTTATCCAATTCCGCAACCCGCTGCAAATATAATTCTTCCTGCAAAAAAATTGAGAAAAAAATCTCTTTAGATATGAGATGAAAATTAATACTGCTCATTATATAAAAGTAAAGGTCATAATTTAGGCTAAGAACTCAAAATTTCTATTACTCATACAATTCATTCTTACTTTCTTTTTATACTCTGCAATGGCACCAAGGTTTGGTTTCATTTCATGACACTGAGCTTCCAAGAGTGCAATTTGATTTGTTATAGAATCTGGATTCTTAATTGTTTCAAGATCCTCTGGGCTTAGAACAGAAACCTCTTCAACAGGATTATCTTCTATAGGATGCAGTGATATTTTTGAAATCTATAAAAGAAGGCACAGTAAGGGCCGGGGATTTAGCTCAGAGGTTCGGTGGCCTGCCTTGCAAGTGCAAGGTCCCGAGTTCAATCCCTGCTTAAAAAAAAAAAAAAAAAAAAAAAAAAAAAAAAAAAAAGGCACAGTAACAAAATTTCATCTTTAAAAAAGCATGAAAAATTAGTTATAAGATCAACAAGAATTGTGACAAATGAAGTCTTTTTCAAAAGCTTTCAACAAAAACAGTTGTTCCATAAGACGTGTTCTTGTAATCTTTTGTTAAATCTCTAGATCAATTCTGGGGTGAAAAGGTAGTTGGAATTCTAACCATTACTCAGATATTTCTGTATATAATCATCACTATTCACTGCTCATTATACTGATATTGAGAAGTGATTATAGTATAGTGTATCATGGAATTAAGAATCATATCTCAAAAAACAAAAACCTCAGATCTTTTTCATAAAAGATAGAGGTATAAATTTAAATTTAATTAAATGGTAGTCTCTGAATGGAGGGCAGGGGTAAGAGGAAAAAAGGAGACCCAAGATCTGTCAAGTAAAGGTACAAGATCACAATGATGAATTTAACTGTGCTGTATACTTAAAAAGTACCAATAAACTCAGTAAGATAAAAAAAAAAATGGTAGCGGTCTCACCTCTTTTCGCCAATATTTTATTTTAGAATTATGTTCAGTAATGTGACCATCTATTTGTTCAAGTTTCAGCTTAATACTAAGTGCATCTTTCTGAAGGGCATGTTCATCATCTTGAATAACTTTTAGTTCTTGAAGCAGATTACGATGTTCTTTCTGAATCTCTGGTAAGGACTCCTAAAAACCAAGAACTGCTACAGATATGATCTTTAAAAACAGAATAGGCACTTTCACATTAGAATTTCTCCCCACATCCTTTCCATTTAAATAAAAACATTTTAATAAACAAAAAATATATTTATTTTTGTTGTACAAATATTATAAAGTTGTACAATAAAAGTTTAAAACTTGGGCTGGGGATTTAGCTCAGTGGTTCCATCACCTGCCTTGCAAGCACAAGCTCAGAGTTTGATCCCCGGTACCCAAAACAAAACAAAACAAAACAAAAGAAAAACCCAAACTAAAAGTTAAAACTTAAATTTATTGAGTGATTGTGGTGGTACACTCAACTCTTAAAATCGCTTCAAGTATCACCCCTTCCCTTTTTAATATGAAACAAATATTACCTCTGCAGCATTTGTATTTTTTATGACCTCTGTTGCTTTTTCCTCAAGACTTCTTAGCTCTGCTGTTAAGTCATGTACTTCTTTCTCAGTATCCTTTATTTCTTTCTCTGTGCGAAACACAGAGTCTTGTGCCTTTTTAAGATTTCTAAAGCAAAAGGACACATTAAAAATGTAGTGATGTGGTATTGTTTTGGAAATCTACCAAGGAACTTTTCATGACAGTTAATGTGAAAATTTTCTTCTACCATAGATTCTTTATGATTTACTAAAACATCCTTGAATTGTTTTTTATATATTATACAAATTATGCGATGAGTGCATTATTAAACTCATGATAAATCAATGAAATATACATGCTTTAAAAATTACTCATTAAATTATTAAATTTTCATCATTTACTTATCAAATTACAGATCTTTAAAGCATACTTCTAACAGAAGCAAATGGCTTATTAGTTCATTATCTTTGGGCAAAAACCACTGGAATAACTAGATAATAACCAATTTAAAAATTAATTTTAAGAATGAAGCAGCTGTTTCCTGTGTTTTACATACATAGCTAGTTTTAATTATACTCTAAAAAATTAAATAAGCATGATGAATGGATAAACTTTTTTTTTTTGGCGAGATGGAATAATAGAATCTTCTAGCTAAAATTTAAAAGATTGGAGTATAGTTCAGTGGTAGAGATCCTGCCTCACATGCGTGAAGTCCTGGGTTCAATCCCTAGCACCACACATAAAAGAGTTACCAAGACAATTTTGCTACAAGATTCCATTCTTAACTCTTACTTTTTAAGGACTGGACCTATTTAAATTACACAGATGTCCCTAAATGAGACAAAACTGTATCTGTGCCTTCAAAACTGGGGAAATTATATAATTTTATCCTGCAAAGGCTTACCTTTTTACCACTTTTAAAAAAATTGGCCAGGATATATGTTATTATAAGCTTGCCCTTAGTAAAGTCCTGTTAAGTTATAGCATGTCGGATAGGTTTAATAAGTAACCTAAGAGAAATATTTAATGGAACATTAAATGTAAATACTAACTCCTTTTCCAGTACAGGGAGGGGAAGACTGGTTAGAAGGATGTATATTCTACCTGTCAGCAGTCTTGATTGCTACTTGGGCTTTAGTAATAGCAGAAGCACATTCATCTAGTTGCTTATTTATGTTATCAAGTTTGTCTTGTTGGGCCTTGAGTTTATGGTTATTGATTTCCACGATGATATTGTGTAATCGTTTAACCTCAGCTTCTACTTTACCAGCTTTCTCAGCCACACCATCATATTCTGCAATTAAAAAAAATAAAGAGCTTAATTTGTTTCTACTCTAATGAGCATGATTTTGTTAGATGTAAATTTCTTCAATCTTAACCTGATACAAAATAACAAATTCTAAAATATTTAGGGGAAAGTACCTTTAAAAAACTGGAACCCTATGTCTAAACTGTATTGTAACAATACAAACTGTTAAAAAAGGTCTGACTCAACACTGATTTCTTCATGGCTTCAAACTTGAGGTATGTTTTCAAACACTTCCAATTTTTCTTATAAACTGACTTGCTGGTTTCATGGCTTTTAGCCTTAGCTTATATCCCCAACTCTATTTCACTTGCCTATGGTGAAGAAATGGATAAACTGGTGTTTCTTCCCTGGGACAAGAGGTTAACATTCCCCAGATTCTTGTATAGGTAGGGTTTAGACATAATTTAAGTCTATTTAAAGTTATCTACATAATTTGGAAGGACATGTTTCTGCTGGCAAATAGTCTAAAAAAGTCTAGATTTTCTGTGATGGAGAAGTTCTGGTGGCCAGTCAGTATCTCTATGAGTACTGACACCTGGCAGTGACATTAACTTTGATGATGTGGAAAGATATTAAGTGCAGTGTGCTTCTGCTGTAGGTTAATTACTATGTAAATGCAGAAGAGGCAATATCTCCTTTGATTGTTCTACAAGGGTGTTCTGGAAATTATTCCTGAATGGTTAACCCAGGAACTCATGTGTAAACAATCTAATAAACCGTTGCACCTGTACTATACAAATCCTACTTACACTAGTCAGTGTGGGTTTCTACTTAAATTCTAGACAGCATTCAATATAGGAAACATGGATATCTGGTAGAAGCGGGGAGGGAGAATCCCACCTACCAAGAATATTTGTGTTTAGAAAGGCAAGCAGAGATGTTAACTGGTACAGAGTACCACAGGCAGAGGCAGGTACACTGGACGAGATAAAGACTGGACAGAGTTAACTACTGTTTCTTTTATCTCTCCTCTTAGGCAGAGATTACATTTCAGTCTCCCAAATATCTTCTATTTTTTTGTACTATATTACCAGAAAATAGCCTCATATTTCAGCCCATATGTTATATTTAATTCCAACATCTCTATTTTTTATATTTCTGACACTGGCACTTAGAAACAAACACAAAAAAACCCTTGCTTCTTGGGAGATTATTTATGGTCCTGTGCATTGCTAACACTAGTAATTGATTTTTTCAGGTCCAAGTTACTTTTGTCAAGGAAATTACCTTGTTCACGGAGATGATGAAGTTTGCGGTAGAAATTTCCTAGGCTGCCTGTGTGCTTGGCTCACTTACAGAGCATCAGCTGCTGTGGGGGCCAGCATAACCATTATAGCGACTAGGGTATGAATTAGGTGTGCAATTAGAAAGGCTCCTATTCTTGACTACCTAGCCCCGAGTGTTTCTTTTCTTTTCTTTTTTTGGTAGTAGGGATAGATAGAACCTAGGGCCTTGCACATGCCTGGCAAACAACCTCCAGCCCCATTATCAAAAGGTTCTTTAGAGTATATCCCCTTATTTCCAAGTACCCAACATGCATTCCTTTCTAAGTATCTAAAGTCATATGTGTATTAGAAGTAGACACTATTCTACATGTAATAATTTATCTTAAAATGTACATTTAGATATAGTTTATTGAAGCCATATTTATATGTTCCAGAGTTAAAAACTAGCTATTATCCATCATCTCTTGCCTGAATTACTGCAATAATACCCAATTTCTCTGCTTCCACCTTGCTTCTCTTACTCTATTCTCTACACAGGAGCCAGGGAGACACAGTTAAAATCTAAATTATTAGAAAATTAAATATCTAGTCTATATCAGACATTAATGGAGTCTTACTGATAGTCCCCACTAATTGCTATGAGATCTACAGAGCCACTAATAAAGCTAAGGGTTATTTTTCATATAATAAAACATTCCTGCAGTCTCTCTATAAAATGGCTGTTATTAATGGCAGATTAAGAACCTTCTGGTCTTTCAAATGACCTTAGGTACCATTGAAACAGTCAAAACAAATATTGTATCAGTATGTACTATGGGGCGAGGGGGAGTATGGGTGGAGTTAGTCTGTAAGAGTAAAACAGACATTCAAGATAAATACAAAGCAAAAAACTATCCTGTGAGAGTAAGCTCCTTGCCTGTGTATCACTCTCCAATAGCTTTGTGTTTCACTTGGAATTATTATCATGGTCTATAGGACCCCAGGGGACCTGGACTCCTTCATTCTTTATATACTGCAATAGTCCTGAACTCAAATGATCCTCTCATGTGCTGGTACTAAGTGTAAACTGCTTTGGCTCTTTTGTTAGTTGTTTGAGACAATTTGTCTCCTTGGGCTAAAGTGCTAAACTGTGAGAGCAGTCCCTTTAAAGATAAAAGGAAGGCTCATTGTGATATTTGGGGTCAGCAGTTAAGATGTTACAGACCTGGAAAGGGTCTATGGCATAACATTCCTTTCTTCTATAAGCCACACAATTAGGAGACTCGGTAAGGTTACAAAACCAATTAATTATGCCATGAATTTCTTGTCTTGCTTAAAGACATTATTTTGGAAGAACATCTGCATGCATATTATTGATAAGAAAAAAAGGTTCTAGGAGAAAATATATTTTCAAATATTTGGTTTTGTATGCAAATCATTTCCTGTGTTCTCTTGAATAATTATTTAGTTTCTCTAAATTCTCATTTTTCTAAGTCTATAACTACTATCATGAAGAATTTTGTGAACATTAGGACTGAAATATACAAAGTATGAAATTAAAAGCACAGGCTCTAGAATGAGACTACATCACCTATTTCTATACCACCAACGTGCTGTGTGATCTTTGGCAAACTGTATAAACCACTAGGTGCTTCAGTTTCCTTGTCAGATGAGGCTATGAAAAATGCCATATAGGCCTGTGAGAAGTAATAGCAAAAAATCCTGAAACAGTACAACAATTTGCACATAATCACTTAAGTCTGTATCTTTAAACATACCTGTTTTGAAAATATTGACATTTTCTTCTAGCAATTTCTGCTTTTTTTTGTCAGGGGCGGTAGCAAGTACATTAGCTTCAAGTTCCTTAACTTGTACACTCAAATATTCTTCTTGCTCTGACAATGGCTATAAGAATGTTTTAACATTTAAGGCCAATATATTAATGTAGTAACTAACATTTTGAATTTTTAAAACAGGCATTTAAAATCTTTAAGAAAATATAAACACAGGAAAAGGGAAAAAACATGAATGTATATAATGAAAATGGCTCAAAACACAAAAAGTTATGTAAGTTTATTTTATTGTTTTATTTTTATTTTTTTGTAAGTTTATTTTAAAAGAGATTTAAATGCCACTTTTTAGTTCAGAAAGCAGCAAATGTACATATACTGAAGACTACTCAAAAAAAAAAAAAAGACCACCTAGTATTCAAAGATCTGGAAAAATATTTATATATGCTGTTATATGAATTAGAAACCACTATGAAGACAATTTGTCATTATGCAACAAATGCCTCAAACTCTGCACCACAGTAATGCTTATAATTTACCTTGGAAATGACTGGATGGATATGTAAAGGTACACAGTACTACAACGATATTTTAACATGACAATGTACATGGTCATACAGAAAAACATTTACCAAAATATGGAGTAAATAAATGCTCTACAACAACTCAAAAACAAAGGCAATTTATATTGGCTTGGGAAGAAAAATATATTAAGTGAAGAAAAGTTAGTATGATATTAAAAAGTAATCTGCACTATTCATATACACCAGATATGTAAATATATAATATGCAAACTATATATTTTAAAAGCTGAGGAATATACATCAACACAGAAGTAATCATTTAGGTGTTTTCTGAAAATAAAAAAAAAACAAACAAAAAACGATGGGCATGTAGTGCTTTTTCATAACCAAAAACATTTCGTCTTGAGAACAGTAAATTAAACGGTAACCTAACTGCTAAGGGAGGTGACGTTTCTATGGGGTACAAATATAAACCAGGGATGGCTGTGGGTGGAGCAGCACTGAGAAAGGGGATTTACCAGTACTCAGGGAGACAAAATCACCTTATAATAATATTAAAGTGGGAGTGCATATCAAAACAGTTCAGCCAAACTGATGCTAAATTCTAAGCTTCTGGTAACACACACAAGATACCTGGATGCTTGCAGTAAACTTTTCTAGTGTATTCTTCATTTCTCGTTGTTCATGTCGTAACTTAACTACTGCTTCTTCAACTTGTACTTTTTGTTCTTGGATTTGCGTTGCTTTTGCAGAATCTCTTTGCAACTGTGATTCCATTTTATTTACCTACAAAGAAACACAAGTCAGGTATCATTTCAGATTGACAGCAAAGAAACCTAGAATGCAGAAAGCCTAAACTTCTGATCTTAGAGACAAAAATCAAACTTTTGATTGATTTTTGAATCTTTAATGTTAAATAAAGCTTAGGAGATGGTCAACAGATTTCTGAATCACGTAAGATGAAAAGGCAACTTTAAATGTTTACACTTGAGAAGAAATAGGTAAACTATTTAAAAAATGGAGGGGGTGTCTGAAAGCCAGGACATCTATGAACTTTTTCTAAAAATCAGGTTGTGCTGGGGATCAAGCCTAGGACCTCACATGCTATGCATGCATTTTACCACTGATCTACACTCCCAGCCCACTTAAGAGAATGCTTTCAAGGAAAAAAAAAAAGTTCATATAATACTTTGGCAACAATAATGGAAAAGCTTCCAATCTCATATTTCCTAGATATTTTGTTAGAAAATTTTAAATAAGTACAAGAAAAACAAAATAGAAACATGCACCGGAAGTCTTTGTTATATCTTAAAAGAATTATTCCGAAATAGAATAAACTAATTTTTCAATGCAGCAGTAATTCTTTGATAGAAGGGGTTTTATATAAATATTTCTAATTATTTATAAACTCATCACTAGAAAATTCAATGTTGATTTAAAAACTGAGCAAAGTATACTTAAAAGGCTGAATTTTGTAGTTATGTTTTACCTCAGGAAAGTTAAAATTAAAAAAAAAGTTTGACTACAGTTTTACATATGCTGACCTCTTCCTCAGAGATTTCAACAACCGAAGAACCCATTCTTCCTTTCATTACTTTGCTTCCACCACCAGTCATTGTACCTGGAGAACATGGGAGAAGTCAGTCAGTCAGGTGTCTTGCCCAAGATTAAATAAATTCAGTGGGACGAAAAAGATCACCGTTACCTGACTGTTCTATGATTTGCCCCTGTAAAGTTACGACCCTCCATCTTCTATCCTTTTGATATGCTACTCTTGTGGCTTGATCCAAGTTGTCTGCTACCAAGGTATCTCGTAAAGCAAAGTAAAAAGCTTGGCGAATATCCTCATCTCTTACTTTAACTAAATCAAATAACCGAGGAGTATTTTCAGGAGTTTGAATTTTGGTCATTTTTTTGGCCCAGACTGCCATCTAAAAGTTTAAAGATAAAAAATATATATTAATAACATATCCTTTAGGAAATCGTGATAATATTCTATTATAATACCCTAAGGAATTTACACCAAAAACTATTAAATAAGCTCAGCAAGTTTGCAAGATGTAAGACCAAAATAAACTACACTTCCATATAGTAGCAGTGAATAATGTGCAAGCAAAATTTACCGCACAGCTATCTATAGTGGATCAAGACACTGTACTGACACTAGAGCAAGGAACAAAACTCGAGTATAGAAATAAACCTTTATGTTTATTATATTTGGATTTTTAATGAGGTGCCCAGAAAATTCAATGGGGGAGACTATAACCTTTCCAATACATGGTACTAGAACAGGAAACATTTACTTGTGAAAGAATAAGCCAGATTCCTATATGCCACAGAAAAATATTAATTCAAGATGACCATGGTGGTTCATGCATGTAAGTCCAGTACTCTGGGAAGCTGGAGCAGAAGGATCACAGCCCAGCCTGAGCAACCTAGTGAGATTTCAGCTCAAAAAATAAAAAAGGTTGAGAATATAGCATAGTGTGAAGGCTCAATCCCCAGGATAGCAAAAACCAATCAACCACCAATCAACCAATAAGAAAACTAAAAAGTACCAAAATACTAGCAATCAAAGAAAAAAACAGAAAATTCAATTTTATCAAAATTAAAAAACTTTGTGCTCCCAACACACTATCAAAAAGTACAACCCACAGAAATGACTGGATTTATTTGTAAAGCATATGCTGACTAAAGGCTTGTGTAAAGAGTAAAGAATTCTTACAACTCCACAATATCAACAAAAATAAATCTATGAAAAATAGGCAAAGGATTCAAATAGACATTTCTCCAGGGAAACAAAAGGCCAAGAAACACATAAAAGACTGTTCAAAATCATCAGTCATCAGGGAAATGGGGTGGGGGGAGCACAATGAGATACTATTTCAGTTCCATGAACCATAGTACAAAAGCGTTACAATAACTGTTGATAAAGGATGTGAAGAAACTGCAGTGCGTGAATACACTCACTGGTGGGAGGGAAAAAGCACAGTCACTATGGAAAACAGCTGGGCAATTCCTCAGAAAGTTAAAGAATTACCACTCCTGAGTATTACATCCAAGAAAATAAATAACTCATGTTTACACAAAATTTTGTACATGTTCATACCAGCATTATTGCTAAAGCAGTCACAAAAGCCAAAAAAATTCAAATGTCCACCAACAGATGAATGGATAAATAAAATGTGGCACATCATTTGGGAATTAAAAAGAAATTAAGGGGCCAGGGATTTAGCTCAGTGGTTCCTCAGCCTGCCTTGCAAGTGCAAGGACCAAAAAATGAAAGACAAGTACATGCTACAAAACAGATAACCTGAAAACCAGTTATGTAATGTTGTAAAAAGCCACCAACTATATAATTACAATCACACAAAATGCTGAACACAGATAAATTTAGAGACAGAGTAGATTAGTGATACGTTGGGGGTAGGGTAGAGATTGACTAGTAAGGCCTATGGGGAGATGAAAATAATCTGAGGTGTAGACAATGGTCAGGGCTAGAAAACCTTGTGAATGTACTAAACTATATACCTTAACCATTTAAATTCAGTCAGCACGTCTATGATTTATGTACTATCCCAAGTATTGCTCTGGCAGGTATCATTTTAACCAGTTGATTCTTGTACTGAATAAATTTGATAAAATTGTCATTTTTATATTTCCTGTTATATTTTATAAAAATAAAGATATGCAATTTTTGGTCATTCTGTATTTAAACACAATAGTATTAAAGTTGTGAATTTTACTGTATAAATTATTATATAGCAATTGTTATTTGTCTCTATAAAGGTTTTACATAGTTGATGAAATCAACACAAATTATTAGTCACTCAAAAATGGAAGTCATTCTAACACTGGAATGTACAGCTATTGAGGGAAGGCACTACAAGATGCCTCCCCTCCACATAATGTGTGGCTTTTTGCTACATTTACATAGCAGGTTTATAGGTATATACTGTAGCATGTACTTGTCCTTTATTGTATTGCTGAATGATCTCACTGTCTGGATAAATGTACATTTATCTATTCATCTCTTAATAGACATTTGGGTTGTTTCCACTTTTTTGGGGAAAATTTGTTTTGTTTTTTTTTTGGTACCAGGGATTGAACTCGGGCCCTTGAGCTTGTGAAGCGGGCAACAGAATCACTGAGTCAAATCCCTGGCCCATATTTTGTTTTGTTTTTTGAAACAGGGTCTCATTATGTAGTTCAGGCTGGCCTTGAACTCTCAGCGATCCTTGTGCTTCAGTCTCCCAAGTGCTGGGATTACAGGAATGCTTCACCATGCCTGGCTGGGAAAAAGAATCTTGTAGACCCAGAGTCTAAAATAATTCCCCACTTATCAGTTCACTGGATAAAGAAAAAGCTCGATTTCAAAAGGAAAAAACACCTGGCACTAGCTTACTATGAATACTCACCTTATCTAAACCTATAAAGGTTGCAACTCCAACATTTTGTCTTTTAAGGAAGTTTACACATTCTTGGGCTGTATCAATAGAATCAACAACAATGTAGTCTAAGGCATGGCAACAGGATGAAATAGCCACATCATATTTTTCATCAATGGCTCCTAGGTCCCCCTAGTTAATTGAAGAGGAAAGGTTAAAATATATATAATTGTGTTGGAATTAGATTAAGAAGTACAAGGTAATTTCATTAGTATTCACACACACAGTTTTTAAAGTTACTTTTTTTTCTGTGGTACTGGGGATCGAACTTG